AAAATTTGTCCTGAAATGTTAGGATCATCAAAATATGCAATTGCTGATGACCACATACCTCTTGTGGACATTGTACATGAAATTACTTTTCCAAATTTGTGATTAAGCATATGTTTGAATTCTTGTTCACACATGCCTACAGGAATATCCCAAAATTTAACTCCTTTTTCCTTATTGTTATTTCTATTTTGAGTTATTGTAGTTCTAACAAGTTTAGGTTTATCATTTTATATTTTTCCTTCAATTTCCATTTCACATGCCTTTTCTATATCTTCTTTTTTTCCAAAATAAATTGCAATGTATTGTTCGCAATCATCTCTATTTTTTTCAGTTCTGATTGTAATAATATTTTGTCTAATGCTGAAGTAATATTTTGGTTTTTCTCACTCTAGAAGCTGTTTACTGTTACCACTGACTCACTTTCACTAGCCTCTTCTTCATTAATTTCTGCATCATTGTTGTATACTTCTTTTGCTTTGCCATTATCATTTTTTGGTGTATTTTTTCCTTCCATTTCTTTATTCAATAAAGTTTCTGTTTCCATATTTGCATCTATTTCCTGACTCTGTTCTATAGTATTGTTGTTTGTTTTGTTGTTTCCATGTTATTGTAAAAGTTCCTGCTCCAGAACTTAGAAGGTTAAAACCTGTCTGGATAATTCCTCCTTTGCTTAAAGTGTTTCGAACTGCTTCTCTACCTTTCTTGTTGATGCTTATTGTGTCATGTTTCATTTTAGTTCCATAGTTTGCTGTGGTTTGTCTGGGACATGTATATTTACCTTGCTTTTCTCATTCATATTTTGTTGTTGTTTGTATTATATATTTGTAGAGTTTTTAAGATTTTTCTCATCCTTGAAAATTCTGGCAAAATGAACATCCCCAATCTTATTTATGTGGTTATAGAACTTGATGTTGTTACATGACTTTGAAGAAATCAGTGAAAGCTAATATGAAGAAATAATTCATAAAAGGATTGGTGAAATTGTGAAAATATTCAAAGGTAATAGAATCAAGATATTTAAGAATATTAAGGATACACATAAAAGACAAAAGATAATTAATGATAAGAAAATTCAAATATGACATACAAGATTAGTAATATGGTATTAGAATACAAATCTGACTTACAAAACATACATGATAACAAGTTCTGAAGTAAATAGTTTGTCCTTTCTTTATTCATAGAGTTCTGGATAATGACTTCTATATTTTGAGAACAACTAGTGAAAAGATTCTTAATAGTCAACCTGTACATGGCAATCGATTAAAATCCTATAAGCAAAAGGATATTATCTCTTGTGAAATGATGAGTATACAATAGAAAGCCTGTTTAAGAGAATTTATAAGACTCCAAAAAATTCTGAAAATTTTTTTACAATTTCTCAATATCCAACTATGAATATCTCTATAATTTCTGATAATCTTCAAAGAAAAATTCATGAAGTGTGCAAAGAATTGTGACAAACTTTGGAAAATGTGAAACTTGTTATAGACAATACTGTTGTAGATTTGGTAATAGAAGGTGTCACAACTATACTTGCATACAAAATTATTTTGGGACCCCGAAATTACAATTTCGGAAAAAAAAGTTGAAATAGTTTTTCATAGAAGACGAAATTATTTTACTTAAAACCCGAAATTCTTTGACCACCTAGATTTATTCTTTGATTAAAGATACATATAACTGGGTACTTTTTTTACTTCCATATATAGAATAGATTTTGCATAAATCTCAAAAAGTCGAAATACCTCAAAAATTCAAAATCAATTTTGGGAACATGTATAGTCACAACAGAAATTGAGTGACCTTTAAGTGATATGGTAATAATGCCATACGATGACATTTTAATGCCTTATATAATGGAAGCTTTTACCACTTTTGAAAAATGGGATCAAATTATTAATCATGATGTAGATAGTCTTTTCCATATAATAATGGATATGAGCATTTCAAATGGCCAAAGAATAGGCACATATAGAAAACTTGGTGACTACTTACAAGATGTCCAATTATAAAAAGAAAGTCACATGAGAAATCTCATCAAAATGGAACATGAATATATTAAATAGCAATATGAGTATGATTATTATTCCAGAAAGTAGGTATACTATACATAAAGATTTTTTGACATATTATGCCAGATTGGATTTATAAGTTATCCAGAATCGAGTTTGATAGATTCCTGCAGTTGTGTAATGCAATACCTACATATTTGGTCAAAGACTTATGAGAATTGAATGGACTAAGTGTAAAGTCAAGCTCCCCTTGAAGGAGGAAATGTCTGTGGCAAAGTAAATTGATGATTATACAGATTATCATGGGGATGATAAATGGTAATACAAAGATGATTGTACAGTCACCTAGGATAATAACCAGTATTGTCATCCAAAAGATATTGTGTAAAGATGAAGGATGAAGTACAAAGGATAAAAATTGAATGAAGGTGAAAAGGTATAAAAGAAGTAGCAATCTCTCAGAGTCTTGGCAGTCATAGTAGTACCTTTGACTTCAGTTTATTGATAATTATGCATAGTTTTGAACATTAATATTTTAGATAGAAAAGTAAACTTCCTTTAGAGATGATGCTACCCATTGTAATATTTTTGTTGTTAAATGATGCTTTACTTTTAAATTTGTAACTTTTATATTTTAATAAACTTATTTTTTGTGTTGCGATATTGCAAAATATTGTTAATATTATTTGATACTGTGTTAACACTTTACTTCACCTTACTCACTGAACCTTCAGATTAAAAATAAGGAATTAAAGATAATTATATTATATTTATTATGTGTTTCGAGATAGGCAAATTTAGAGTGATGGCTTGCTTGACCTACTGGAAGATAGAGCATATTTAAAAAAGTAGTTTGTGAAAGACAAACTTTGAGACTGATAAATGAAAGTATTCAAAATGCTCTACACATTTATGACAATATATTTATTTATATTAGATCATGTATTAATTTTTTGTTTTTTTTTTGTTATCAATTAGTCACAAATCTATCAACATCTTCTTAAATTGCAAATTTTGGCTTTTCCGTCTATTACAAGATAAATCGTTTACTGGTATTGCGCACTCAAGTTATTATTAAAAGAAAGGAGAAATGATACAGCTATTGACATGGGGCAATGGAGAAAGTTCTACTCATTGAGGAAGATCCAATAAATACCAATTGGATCTTATTAAATTTATGTGGAACTCCTACCGAAAAAGATTGGACATCCATTACTAATGTATACCTGTACCAAATAATTATAAAAGAAAAGTAAAATTAATTTATACACATGAATTTTTTTTATAATAAAATTGATTACCTTTAATAATTTTAAATAATTTATTAAGTTTTTTTTTTAATTTTTAATAAAAAATAATAATATTAATCCATTTTTTAAAAATCTTTTTTTTTTGTAACATAACCTTCCGGAATATGAATCCAATCAGATGGAAACCAAACCATCATCTCTGAACCAGCGCCACCGGAAACTATTCAAAATCGTGATAAAGAATAACAATAACGGCAATAAAATAATCGTAGTAACAACAATAACAACAAAAATAATAGTAATACGGTGACATAGAAGAAATAATGATCATTATCATGATAATCCCCAAAATAATCATAATAATAAAAGGTGACATTGATGTTATTTAAAAAAGAATTGTTTGAATATTAAAGTAATAAAATTGAAAAAATCGAATTCGCGTGAAATAATGATTTTTGATAATAATTATTATAAACCCTTATTAACATTTATGCATATAACCAAAATCTAAATTACAAATTATGCATATAAATGAGATAAAGAATTCACACTCTAATCCCGAGATGCAAATGAAAATAAATAGAAAAAAAAAATAATAAAATATAATAATAAATAAAATTTTAAAATTAAAAATTTAACATATTCCGGAATCAGTTAAATAAAATAAAAAAAAATCAATATAATATAATTAATTATATAAAATAAAATAAAACAATAATTCATAAAATATAACTTACCAGTGCTTAAATTGTCCATAGATTTAGTTAATTGTTCTTTTTCAAAATTTTCTTCCCTCTTGGGTTTTGGAAGACTTGAAAAATTAAGAAGTCGATTGTATAAATTGCTCATGGATGTGCTTGATAATTGAGTGGAGTTGTAATTGTATTAGTTGATGTAATTTTGTTATCATTTTCAAAATAATCATTCCAGTATTTAGATATCTCTGTATATAATTCTTCAAAAGTAGGTCTATGAGTAACTCTAGCATCCCAACATCTCATAATCATTCTGGTAATTAATTTTGGGATGTGGATTGGAATTTTTGGTCGTAATCCAGTACATATTTTCATTGCTAAATCCTTGTTATGTGGTAAATCATAATATGAGGGAAGGCCCGTCGCTATTTCGCAAGCTATTATTCCAAAAGAATATACATCTGCAGCTTTTGTATATTCCTCTCCACCTAACACCTCTGGAGCTACATATGGTAATACACCAAAAATATTCTTTTTTTCGGGATTGTTTGGATTTTTTCCAACTATTTTACTTAATCCAAAATCAGAAATAGATAAATTATAAGAATTAAAATAATGTAATAAAAGATTTCCAGGATGAAAATCCTGGTGAATTATGTCTAATTCATGAATATATCGAAAATAAAATGATAAAAAATACAAATAATATAATTTCTTTATCCAATTTATATTATTAAAATTATTTTTTAAGTAATCTCTAAGATTTCCACCTTTAGCATAATCTAAAACCATTATATATTTGTGTGTTTCTGGATCTTGTGTAATTCCTGATTCCCTATTTTTAAGAGAATAACCGTCTAAATAATTTATATTTTTAATTTATGGTTAATATAATATATTTTGGAAACAAAATTTGCAATACTAATAAATATTTTACCTCATTCAAGAATTCTTCATTTAAATGTGCAAAATTATCAAACTTTTTAATACCACTTCCCATTGTTGATTTTCAATAGTCCATTTCTTAATTTGTCCATCGAACCACCATTGAGCTAGATGTATTGTTCCGAATCCCCCCTCTTGCTATTTGTTTAATGTATTTCAATCTATCATAAGGTATCCATTCTATTACTTGAAAATAAACGTTTGCGTCTACTTGAGCATTTTGAATAATTTTATCTATTGTTTCATTTCCACTTGTCCATTTATCAAAATTATTTTTGAAATGTTTCGAATTGCATGGTTTGCACCATTTGTGGTAAACATATTCATATTCTCAATTGATTTCTGGACATATTTTATAAGATAACATTTTTATTCACTTATAGTATGTTAAGTGGAAGTTTATCTTTTAAAAAATAAATTTTTAACTGAATTTACGATTGGATGAAAATTACTTTATTCAAAAAATCCCATTTAAACCTTATTTATGATACAATTAGATTTAGATGATATAAAAGGCAATTTCCTTGGACTTCAGAGCATACAATAACCATTCTAGTATAGAAAATAAGCAGAATTGGTAATTATATTATAAAAGATAGTGATGGTAATTATTGGTTAGAAATTTGAAATTTTAAGATTAATCTTTTTTTTAAAAAAAAAATAAAATAAAAATAAAATAAAAAGCTTATTCACTTTCTTAAATAAAAATCATTACTAACTTACTTTTTTGATTGAAATATCTAAATATTTAACAAAATTTAACTTTTTTTTAATATATAATTATGACCACAAACTTTCCTTTTTATAGAAAATTCCAAAAAATAAAATACTAAAAATATGTTTAAAATTTTTTTCTTTTTTTTTTCGCAAAGCCTAACACTGTTCAATATTCCGTATATTATTTTATTTATTATTCTTTAAAAAACAATAATCATAAATTATCAATATCAACATAATAATATTAATAATCTAACACACTAAATCGATTTAAAAAATAGGTGAAATCAATAAGGAGAAATTATCTTTTTTGATATTAAATATCAAAGCATAAGTATGAATTATAAAATCATCACTGATATTGTTTATTTGATAAATATTAGCATTCTTGTAAAGAAATAGAATATGTAATTATCTACTTTACAATATTATTCGTTTGATTTCACTATAATCTTAATCTAAATTGTATTTATAATATGAAGCCTAAACCAAATAAATAAAAAAATGATTCGTCAGCATAAATTTCGACTCAGATATTATGAAATTTTTTTAAAAAAAATCAACATTAGAAACATTAAAAAATAAGAATAATAAATAAATAATCGATGTTATTTTTTGTTAAAAGAATGAAGTGATCAATTGATATCTAAAATATTGATAATTCAAAGTATAATGTTTAAATTATGGACCCTTACTTTAGTATACGTAATAACTTCTATGAAATAATTTTATATATAAATCAAACTCCAAGTCAATAATATTTCCATAATTATTTCAATTTTGTGAATTATTTTTATTTAAAAAATCTCAAAAACTAGAATTTGTGATCAATGTTTACATCCACATCTCCGGGTTTTCTGTAAATAAAAAAAATTCTTTTAATTATGAAGGAATGACTAGTTCTATGAAATCATGATTCGAAAAAAAAAAATGGCTACTTAACTTTATATATAATGTCACGCTCGAAGATCTCCCTTTACAAATATTTATAAAGTTCATTAAAAAAGAAATTATATATTTTATAAAATACAGAGTTTCTTTTTAATGAAGTTCAAATATGTCACTCGTTAAAAGATTTCAAATAAAAAAAATGAGTTATCTTCTCGTTGGTATTTCATTTAATTTTGTCAATTCAATAAATTAATTCAAATTAAGTTAATTAGATGGATCACTAGATTAATTATTATTCGTTAATATTATAAGATTATTGCTCTCGTTTTTAACTAAATATCATCATCGTTCAATCTTTATTATTATAAAGCTGCAATAACATTTTCAAATCGATATTCAGGTGAGGTGAAAAAAATTTTTATAATAAAATCCTGGAAATTTGCTTTGGGTTATTATTAATCGTAATAATGATAAGACGTTTAATTCAAAATAATAAATTAAAAAATAAATAAGGTTTTTTTTTACTTTATTTAAAAATCTCTGACAAAATTTTTTTTTAAGAATTGAATATGCTTCATTATAGACAATAAATAAACATTAATGATGAGAGTCAAGAATCCCTCACTCTACACGATGAAATTCTCGAAATCAATACAATAAAATCAGTAAACAATCTCGTTCACGTACGTTGTGTAACTCTATATTGTGAGAATAAATTATTACATTATTTTTAAGATTAAATGATAATGATATTTAAGACTTTATTACGTAACTGATAAAAGCAGGTTTTTTTTCAATAAATAAAAATATAGTTAAGTACTAAAATCATTATTTCTTATATAATTTTTTAAATCAAAATTTCTCTTTTTTTTAGAAAGCCGAATTATTTTTAAAAAAAAATATCGCATCTCTCGATGATTTAGGCGAAACGTTTTAAAAAAAACAAGCAAAGAAATTAATTAAAAAAGCTAAAATGTGGAGAAGTATAAATATATGTGTGTGCATGGGCATAGGGAATATATATATAATACAAATATTTTATTTCGTATTTTTAGGATATACATATACCAATTTTTATTTATAAGTTTCTACTAATATTTTAATTTGATTATAAGTTAACATTTACCAATTTTTATTTATAATAAATTAGATTCTTCCATAACACCAACGCATGCGTTGTGCACTCTATATCTTATTAGTCCATTTAAAGATGTACAAAGAGTTTAGTTTTTATTATCTAAGCAAATATTTTTATACATAAATTGATTATAAGGCTCCATTTGGGAGGTCCATGTCCATCATGTGATTACCGAAATTAATCAATGTTAGAATGAGGATCGGTTAGTATTAGGATTTAAGTAAATATAATATGTAAAAATTGCCTTTCCGACACTTTTTATTAATGCACTAAGATATGTTTATCGCGTTTTCACTTTTCTTGCTTCGACGGGCTGATCCGTATAAACAAAAATTCACGATTTTGATTGACCATAGTCACCGGAAAATCTCTTTATAGTGTGGCTTTAGTCCCTTTATTTGGTAATACCCCCTTGCCGTTTTGTTTGGTTATGTAACAGGTAATCATTTATTAACTACGACGCCAATCATTAAGCATTTAATTAATTAATAATCGAAGTTGCATCACATTTTTTTTAAAAAAATGAATGAACGTCAAAATGTAACGATTAAAAAAAAAAATAATAATAAATAAAATA